CAATTCATTCATATCAGTCCTTCAGAAGAAAGCCAAGTTTATAGAAAAGTGTGCACACGAATTTTCAATTCCCTTTCTTTTTATATCTACACAAGAGGTATAAATCTAATAAATATGACTGGACCTTGGCAAATGCAGGAAATGAGTTGGCTTCAAATCCTTTTGAGTTGTAGGAAGAGATAAAGAATGGAAATAAATGGGTCTATAGAGACAGAAGGATTTAAAGATCAGGTAAACCCTAATGTTTACTAGAGTGCCACCTAAATATTTCACAAGGTTTCAGCAAATCCACTCCATGTCTTCTCTGTCTCAAACTTGCATTTTCTCAAAAATTTAAAAAAAAAAATCAGTCAGGGCCAAGCCAGCCAGGCAATCATCTAGCCTCACATGACAGCTCAACCAGCAGCCAGCAGCCAGCAGCCCACTCACGCACCCCGCGCATGCGCTCCTCCCACAGCCCTATCTGATCTCGAGTCTCAGCCACTCTTAGTTTAAGCCTTTATGGTCTCACTAGAATCAATGCAACAAGATCCCTAAAAACGGTGTTCTGATAACCAACTTCCCTCGCCTTCCCTCACCCTCCCTCTCCCTATGCCCATCCCACTATCACAGCTCTGCAATGCCCAGAGATGCAACCGTCACACTGGCACGAGGGCAGTCTCTGTCAAATGCAAAGGTGACCTTGGCATACCCAACCTATAGCTCTCCACACTCTATAAGATAATTCATATTATTTAGGCCTGGCTCCTATCTTTTACAGCGACACAAGAAACATAAATCTAACCAACACAACTGGTCCTTGACAAACATCCAGCTATCTGGCATCCCTTCTAAGAGAAGGCTTCACTTACCTACCTCACTGCAGCTTCACTCCAGCAATAAATATACTGCCTGCAGTTCCTGGTCAGCCAAGCTCTTTACACTCCCTGAGCATTTACATTTGCAGTTATATTTCTTTATTTGTCTCCCAAAGGGAATGGGACACTAGGTAAGGAAAGGAGGGTTTGCGGAATGCTAAAGAATTGTTAAGTGACTTGCAACACAGCCAAAGGCTTTCCATCTACCTCTTTCCCAGTGTGCAAAAGGAAGACAAGAGTCCAAGCAATCAGGAGCTGAAACAAACTCATCCAGAGAGGTACAGGCCATGGAAAAACAGGTTACCTTGATCTAAGACCCCAAGATTTTGGTAGCTACAGACATGTGACCTTTAAAGTGGATCAACAGCCAGTCTGCTCATCTGGAGTGAGCCTCCTCACAAACCGCCTTATTGACACTGATCCTTCTTGCTCTGCGCAGGGCCTTTGTAAACTGGAACAGTTCTAAAGCAACTCAAAAAAGTTTTACTGAACTCTGCACAGTTTAAATACATATCATGGAGATAACTTTGATATACACATGTAATTTCTAGTGAGCAACTATGGAACCTGGTTTTGCCTTCATGACATTTCTGCCATTAAATCTTCTTAGATAACATTATTAATGAAAGTTAGCTCAGGTTTCTCAAAATCTAATTTTTAAAGTTTGATTATTTAAAAAGATATAAAAGCCTTAAACTGATTTAAAATCTATTAAATAGGGCCGGGGAGATAACTCAGTGGCACAGTGCCTGCCTGGCAAGTGCAAGGTCTTGAGTTCAATTCCAGGTAGCCCCCCCAAAAATCTATTAAATAGATCATACAGCCATAAAATATAACCAACTCTTAATTTTTCCAAAGCAAAGAAGACAAGCCCATGTACTTTCCAATATTTATGAAACAAGATGGAGTGGTAATTTGGCTCTAGCTAAAAAGTAAGATGAAAGCATAGCATAAGTAAGTTAAGAAATAAGACCTAAAAAAAAGTTCATATTTATATAATCAGAAGTTGATGTAGAAAGAAAAAGTTGCAAGATTTAAAAACCTGTCATTCAACTGGGTATGGCAGCATACTCTTGGAATCCCAGCACTCTTGGAGGCTGAGGCAAAAGGATCTAAAAGTTCAAGCCCAGCTTGGATAATTTAGTGACTCTGCAAGACCTTGCTTCAAAATTAAAACATTAAAGGGCTGGGGACACAGATCAGTGCATAGACACTAGGGTCAATCCTCATGCCAGAAAAAAAAGAGAAAAGAAACCTATCATGAAACTACCACTTTCTATCATAATGCTCAATTGGTAGAATGCCATGTATTTCAAGACTAATTAGGTCCACCAAAATAAGGGCAGGTCAAGTGGCCTTCAGGTCAGAATATATTTGCCCAACATGATAATACAAATTTTGTTGTTCCCAGCACTTTCACCACAATTTTATCTTCCCTATCCTAACATGATTAAGGTAAAATTTAACTGAAAAAAATTTGCTTCCATTTGAATGTGAATTTCAAATGCAAACAAATACTAAGAGAAATATACACAAGACTAAAACTTTTAGTAATATTTGTTTATTTTTGAAAGCCTCCAAAGTATCTATCAGAGATCTATACCTTCTAGTTAAATTCTCAGCAAGACGTCACAGCTATGCTCTGCATAGACAAGTGATTTCCGGATTTTTACATACACTGATGAACACGTCACAATTAAAGAGAAGAAACTGTTGATATGGAAGCATTAGCTCATAAACATGAAGAATTACTGTGAAAGGAAACTGCATTTTCATCCTTCAATAAATAAGGGTCACTAGTATTTAAATAATACATTTTCCCTTGCTGAAACATCCACCTCTGCAGCTCAGGTATCTGACTGCATTACTCTTCAGCTGTCCCTGCAGTGGAAGGCTGGCTCCCATACCTCACAGGTCAACTAAAGGTACTTTCATGGAAACACCTGCAACCTGACACTGAAGCTCCAGCTGTGCTACAATTACACTGGGCTCCAAATCAAACTTTAAACAGTGAAAGTGCAATTCCATAATAGGGGCATTCTGCACAACCTCAAAGATAAACATAAGGATAACAAAACTCCATTGGAATACTAAATATTTTTGCAAAATATTTTAATTGCGCAGTTTCCCAGAGAAATTAGTAACAAAACTAGGCAAACTTCAATACTGTACTTTCTTAACATTAGTTATAATTTTTAAGGTAACTAAAAACTGGTTTTGATAAAAACCATCCTGGAGTTATACTGTGATAGTGACCTTGTATGTATTTTTATAGCCATCATTCTCACAAGCTTTGCATATTGAGTCTTTACACAAATATTCTTTAAAATTATTAAAATTAATGGCCACAACTGGAGAACGTGTTCATTTATTGTATCTTGGATAAAGAGTCTATGTAATAAAAAAGAAAAAAAAGTCTATGTAATAAAAAGGAACTGACTGAAAAACTTCAGACATTACAGAAACTTACAAAAAAGATGTGAGAAACAGCCCAGCAAACAAGAATAAAGGGAATTATTTTTTAATGTGGCTAAATCATCATGTTTATCACCACATACACATATCAGCTAGAATATTCCTCAGGGAAAGAAAGTTAATTCCATCTAAAGGTATCCTTTCTATGAGGAAGAACCAGACTTTCCACTTGAAGTAACCTGAGAATTGTTTGTTATAACAGTTAAGTGCAAAAGAGGAAGTCAGAATGGGAGCACTGTATAAATGTAATTAAGTTACCTGTTCATCTTAATCCTACCATTTTCTCTTGGAAATGACCATGAAACCTTATTCAATTTTGATAAGTCAATCTGATAAAAAGTGAACTACAAGTAAGAGAGAGCACTGTTTGTGCAGTTAAAACAGTTGTTTAAAAGAAAGTATGTGGACTCTGACTAGCCAGTTGGATGGACAAGATATATAAACTTGGAATATATTTAAGAACGGAAAGCTTCTTCCTAAAGGATTCTATCCCGTTGTTAGGTAAACGGCGACATGAGGACCAGTACAGAACACAGCCAGCCCAAACTCGGGCGGGACTTCCTGCAGTTTAGCGAGCTAGGTCTTTTAGGATAGGGTGGGGGTAAGTGAGAGGGACCTAAATGGAGTGACAAAAGGGGGGACTTGGGATTGGAGAGTGAGAACGGCTGAGTATGTGGCCACAGCAACTGCAGCTGAGACCCAGCAGATGGGACGGGTGTGGGGTGTGTCCCCAAGCCGAACAGGCCTTGTTCCCGGCCTCAGGTGCGGAGGCCACAGGACCTGGCTCTGACAGTTCTTGGAGCTCAGGAAATCAGGCGGCCGGGCAGTGGGGGAGACAGGGGTCAGACCTATCAAACACGATCAACTCGGTTTTTTTCTTTGAGACAAGGTGTCAGGCAGCCTCAAACTCCAGAGCCTCCCCCACGAGTTGGGATTAGAGGGGCAAGCTGCTGCCCCCGCTACAGGATCAACTTTTGGGCTACTGATTATATAAATTAAACGATGTTCTCTTTCCTACACTTTGATAAGTATTAGTAAGAGAAAAAAACCGCCTATATTGGGTAACCAACTTTTGAAACAGTCCCAAGATAATTTCAATTCAGAACTTGTTCCACGAGTTCATTACTTAAGAAAAGCAGTTCTTTGGTCCAATCTTTAGGGTAAAGAAAAACAACAACAACAAAAAAGAATCAGTGCTGACGATCAACATTTTAGTAAAACTGGGCTAAGAACTGGAAAAAGCGCCACTGAAGCTCCGCTGGAAAAAGCCACTGCCCACCCACAGTATTAAAATACAGGAAACTTTGAGGGAACAAAAAGAAAGAGCCAAGAAAAAAGAACGGGCGTTCCCTCACATGACCACGATGAGCTGTTCTGGGTCTGGTTCTAATTTTATCCAGCCGGGACTTTGGGGAAGGGCTTTCTTACACATTCACTCCAAGAAAAAAAAGAAAGGAGCGCCCCAGGCCCAGCCACGTCACCAGCGGCCGCAGAACCGGAGCCCGGCGGGGCGGGTTCCGGACACCGCCAGGGCACGGGAGCGCGGGGCATCGGGAGAGGGGGCGATGGGGCACCCTTCGCTTTCCGCTTCCCACAAAGTCTAGAGCCCCCCGCCCCCGTCGCGGGCCACGCGGCCGCGGGAACCGAGGGGCTCGGCGCGCAGCCTACCTGAGCCATGGCCAGCGGGTCGGAGGATGCGGACCTGCAAGAGAGGACGCGACCGGTTAGCCGCCGTCCGGACCCGCCGCCCCGGTCCGCCC